GCATATCCTATTCTAATAGTCTCAATCTGTCAGAGCACTGTGCTCTGATAGTCTTAAAAGCACGCCGAACTATCGGATTTATTCTTAGAAATTTTAAGACCATAAAGGTTTTAACTAGCTTTTATTATATGTACGGGAAACCTAGTCTTGAATACTCCTCGCCTCTAAGCAGTCTTCTGCGCACTAGTAAACGGAAGAAAATAGAATCGGTCTAGCACTTCTTCACTTAAAGCGATTTCACTCCAAAGCACCGTAACTTAGCCTACCAACAAAGGTGCGAACTTATAAAGCTCGATCTCCTGTGGCTTCGTAGATTACAGAAGGGTCTATTTTTACTGTTTAGACTTTTGAATGGCCGTTCCTTTTATCCCCTCAGTACCATAAGGCAGCTCGAACATTCTAGGCGCGCAAGTCATCGAGATATGTTTTTATTTCTTCCTATGGCACGTACAGTTAGGTACCGTCACTTATTTTCAGTAAACGCCACTGTAATCTGGAATAAGCTACCCAGAAGTATTAAAACTCAGCAAATCCATCCTTTGTTTAAGAGAGCTATCACTAGTTTTCCACATTCAGGACAAATTTAACGAATTTTTGGTGCTGACTCGGTGGAATCTCCCCTTCATTCTGATGGCGTTCGTGGACTTTGAACCCTGCCGGCCCTCATGCTGAAGATAATAGTGGTGAAGCTGTGGCCCGCAATCGGCTAATTCTTCAGCCGACAGCGAGTTGTTTTTGGCCGACACACATTCAAGGAGGACTGTGAACACTGTGTTCCTGTGTCAACCCTCCCTCTCCTGAACTAATGTCCCTAAATGATCTACAGCTTTTTCCTGCCTAACTGTCAGCCCAATTTATAACTGTAAGTACTTTTCGTTAGTATGGTACCTTTGAAGTCAGGTTTTTTCACTTGAAGCAAATTCCCTATTTTGTCCAGTATTGACCAAACAAAAAGTTAAAACAAAACCAGTACTGAGTGCAAAAGACAGAGTTTGTTTTAGGTTTTTTCCTGTCTTCGGGATTTTGGAAAGCGCCCACGAAGTGCTTTAGCAATTTGCCTTTTAGCCGGCAAAATAAATATATAGTAATAACTGACGGCTGTCTGCTTTTTCAATTTGCCTCTGCGCTCGAATCCGTCTAGCGTGAGTCCCTGTGACGAATACTTGAACTAGGTTCGGTGCCAGCTTAAATCACTGTCCCGATGAAAGTATGTTATAGCTCCACCACTTCGTCAGTTCTCTAAATAAATAAGCAAAATGTTTTATCTAGCACTCACATTTGTACTTTCATTTGCATATATTTTCGAATGAACTTTAGAAGGAATAGGCAAACACCGTACAATGTTCAGTCCAGTATAAAAAATAGGTCTGTAAACAGGTAAAAAGCGCCTTTAGTACTCGTCGAAAAGGACTAAACAGAACCTTGTAGCACCACGTGTTGTTGCATATACAGTTGCTCAAACAGGACTGTGATTATACTTTTTGTGGTTACATTTACCAACGCACTAAATTGGTAATAGCGGGGCCCTTAGGCCTTAAATTTAGAATTTATTTATAGTATTTAATGAACAGCAATTTTCACAACAAAATTATTCACAGCCAGCCTCGAAAAATATTTTTGGATCTCCTATTCTCCAACACTCGTTCACATCCAACAACAACATCTCGGTCACCTTGTGTTTTAGTTGGACTCGAACACGTATGCCTGCAAATTTATGCTGATTATAAGTATGCATAAGTCCTTGTGAATAAATAATGTCATCAATGACACTTCATGTAACCATTGAGCATATGCGGCATACAAAACCCATTGTGCTCTAGAGAGCAACGAACCTTCTTGTGCATCTGAACATTACACTATCCAATTTTCAAAATCCTTCTTGAGTAAAGTCGGCGTGGTAGTCTACCAAATGCCTTCATGCCTTCCTGTACCGGCCACAGGATCGTCCGTCGTGACCACGGTCGCAAAAAAGGTGGAGTTTTGACTTTCTTCGTGGACAAATCCATTGCCCATAACCAGCTACCCCTGCTTGGTGCCGACTCCATGGAAGTATATGCAATTACCCCCGACATTGTCTCGGTGCCGTTAGCCGTCGTAAACGTCCTCCAACTTCCAGTTGCCTTCCCTGTGTCACCACCTCTATCGAACTCCATGAATCTTCTGCCGACAGTTTGGTGCTAGGCGGCTTCAAAATGCCCCTTCACAGTCTTTAACGATCCTCCCTCACAACCGTGCCTCCAGCGCGCCCGGCGTTCCCCTCCACACTTCGGCCTGGTAGCCTTCACCATGTGCTGGATAGTGATCACCTCCCCATAGTACTCGAATTGCCCAACGCCGCCGACCGTATGAAGATCCCAAACAGGCACTTCATTAACGTCAAGTGAGCCGACTGGGCAGCGCTTACAGCCGAATGCCTCCAACCCCCACTAGTATCCACACGGCGGATCAAATATTTCGATGACGACTTCTTGCAACAGCAAGTCACCACATGCCGAACGGCCACAGTCCCTTACTTTGCCCCCACTATCCGCCTTAATCTTCCCGTCAGGAACGCGAGAGAGATGATATACGAGCACGAGATGTCAACGACCCGCGCATCGGTGAGCTGAACAGCTAAATCACCAAAATCGTCGACGACCGCAAACGCCAACGCTGGCATGAAATATTTACGGATTGAAATTTCCGCGACAAATCCGCTGCTACTTCCAAGCTTCTACACACCTTGACCAAGTCCCGGGCTGATACGTCTAACTAGTCGATTAGATTCGGGAACAGCACCTTCATTTCGAACAATGGTAAGATCGCCGCAACGATGATCAAACTGTTCTCGTTCCGCTCGGTGTCCAGTCCCAAAATCCAGCACTCTCTTCTTTGTCTCCTGAATTAAGCCCCGTCTCAGGCATTTCCTTCTCGATTGATGCTATCCTAAACGCCGTTAAGAAAATAAGGTCTCTGAAATCCTGAGGACTGGATAACCTGGCGCCTATTTATTTGCGTCATCTCGGCCCTAAGGTGGCTGCTCACCATGCTACCC